AGGCTKMMGKWTTKWYTCMKGMKGTMGASAMAACCTGGYTGWACATAAACGGCGAGTTTGCATGTTGCCGGTGGATTGAGAAAACTTTAGGAATTTTTTGAAAATCGTGCATCCTCAGCCCCATTTGGCCCTGTGCAGTAGGCCTGGGTAACTCAATGAATTTTTAGGAGCTGGCGCAGTGCTAAACAAATACCTCCATGCGCCAACCAACGCACCGGCGCAGTAACTCAGTTCCGTTGATCGCAAAAAAACAGTATTTTCTGATGATTTTTTCCTTTCCTGGCAATAATGAGGTCTTTTCAGCCAAAACTTACAAAATTAATTTTGCTAGAAAATTCGCCTCATTCATCGGTTTGCAGGGAACTTTAGAAAACCCTTTTCAGCTTCGAATTTGCCACAAAAACCAAATAAATTTATTGAGTTTTTTTACAGAAATCAATTAAGATTATCTTGAAAAAAACGGCCAAAGAGCACCAGTTTCCAAAAAATTATTTGGAAAATTCGCCACCCTCATCGCTCGGAAGATTTTTCAAGTTTCTTTAAAATTTCAGGTCAATCCAGTTTTAGCAAAGTTTCTATTTAGCACGTCTTTCTACGCAAAAAACGTTTTATTTTTAGTTTTACTTAAAATACTGACAATCATCAGGTATTTTCTGTGAAAATTATAATATATTTTATTAGAACACTCGCCTCCTGAACATCTTTGTAAATTTTTTTCTGGAAGTTTTGCAGCTTCGGATTTTGGACAAAACTAATAATTTTTTTTAGATTTTTCCGAAAAATATTTCCCCGAACAAAACAAGTAGAAGTTTATAATTAATTATACGGAAAACTCCTCACTTTTGTCGCTGTGACTAATTTGGTTTATTTAAATTCCGGTTTATTCACTTTTAGGTCAATATTTCTAAACAAAACTGTCTCTAAACAGAACAACGCATTTTTTCCTAACGTTTTACTGTAAAATACTGGCAAACTGAGAGTTTTTATGCAAAAAAGTTTAAATCGTCTTTACAGTTTGGTCTTCTTTATCGTCTTTTTCGAATACCCGTTTTACTATACTCTATATCTGGGTCTAGCGTGGACTTTCCAGAAAATTCGAGAGGATTTCGGCAATTTTTTTAATAACATGCATCCTCAGCTCTATATAGGCGCTGTGCAGGCTGTTTCAAAAATGTTTCCTTTCGCTTATGCGCCCGGAGGAGGGTTGACGGTCTCTTCACATAGAGAGCAAGAATATTTCGATATTTATGCCGAGTATGATTTTTTCGAGATATTGGGAAGATCTTAGGAATTTTTCAAAACGCACGAGCTTTAAGCGTTCTATTAGCGCTGTGCAGGCTCTGTGTCAAAAATTCGTCATTTTCCTGCTTTGACCGATAGAGAGTGGAAGTTTCTTCCAGATATAGACCAAAGATCACTCTATATCTGGGGTGAGTTTGGACTTTCCAGCGAATTTGATAGGATTTTAGCAAATTTTTGAAAATATGCATTTGCTTCTCCGTATTGTCGATGTTTAAAAAAGCTGCTAGGTGTTTGGTTCCTGCGTGGTGTAAAGAACTGAACTTTTTGACTTACGTAGAGATTAGGGTATATTCCTCATATACTGAATGAGTTCGGAGTTTCTAGAAAAAGTCGAGGGATTTGGAGAATTTTTGCAAAACGCACTGTTTGAGGTCCCATCGGCGTTGTGCAGGCTCTGTTAAAAAAATCGTTTTTGGCACCTGTTGCAACTAAACAGATGAAGTTTAGAAACAGTAAGGACCACTGTATATCTGGCGCGAGAATGGACTTTCCGGAAGATTCAAAAGGATTTCTGAATTTTTTTACGAACATGCTTTCTCAGCTCAGTATAGGCGGGGTGCAAGCTGTGTTTCAAAAATTTGCCCTTTTACTTCTGCGTTCGTAGGAAAATTGATAGTCTCTTCACATAGCAGCAATAGACAGCATCATAGAGCAATGATATTTCTATATTTATGCCGAGTTTGATTTTTTCGGGAAATTGGGAAGATCTTAGGAATTTTTCAAAAAGCACGAGCTTTAAGCGTTCTATTCGCGCTGCGTAGGCTCTGTGTCAAAAATTCGTCGTTTCCTTCCTTTGACTAGAAGAGAGTGAAAGTTTCTTGCAGATATGGAGTAAAGATGACTCTATATCTGGTGCGAGTTTCAACGTTTCAGGAAATTCGTGAGAATATTAGAAATTTTTTGCAAAACATGCGTTTGAAGCGTCGTATTGGCGTTGTGTAGACTATGTTTAAAAAAACTGCTGGCTGTTTGGTTCCTGCGGGAGAGAAGAGCTAAACTTTTTGACGGACGTCGAGCACAGATCGCGTTATATTCTGAATGAGTTCGGGGTTTCTTGAAAACTTAAAGGAATTTGGAGAATTTTTGAAAAACGCATTTACTACTAATGTGTTGAAGTTGTGAGAAAATGTAGATTAATATCCTATGAAACATGGAATTTACGTAAAACTGCTTAGAAAAGTAGAGGTAAACGAGAAAACTCTTATCAAAAACTTTATGTAAGTAATGAGTATTGAATTGAATTGGTTCCGAAAGGAATGCAAATGTTTTAGAACTTCTACTGAGTAACAGTTAGAAGGTATGTTTTGAAATACCGAATCGTTACAAGAACGGAAATTTCGTTACTCTGTAGTGGTATGGATCGATCTAACTGTATGAGTGTGAGCGAAATCTGTGAATGCGACTTTCATAATATTAAAACTATTTTGCCCGCAAAAATTTCCTTCTTGTTACAAAAACATCAGCAGTTCCCATGTTTACGTGTTTCTTGTTGAAAGCCAACATTCGGAAGCAGTTATGAAAATCTCGCACTTTCATTCGAATATGTTTTCTCTAGCTGGCAGGATTTTTTTTCTGCGACGAGATCCCCTAGAGGTTTTGCAGAAGCACCCAAATTAAGATGGTTTCACTCACACGCGGCAGTTTCGTTGGTGTTGAATCTCGTGTATTTTTTTCCACAAAAAGTTTAGGTTCATTTTGCAAGTTTTCCAAATTGTGCATTTTGCAATCAATTTCAAAGCGAAACTGGCCAAATATTGCAATTTTGTTACGCGGTGTAAACATTTAATGGCATGCTAGTAAAATTTGCGCAACCATTGGCGCCACTAAATCCATGCATGTGTAAACTCGACAATAAATATTACTTTAGAAACATCGGTTGCTCTAATTGCTAACATATTTTGCTGTGCTCCTATTTATCAATCAACATGATGCCAACATTTAAAAATCAGCATCGTAGGTAATATGCAACCGAAAATTTATTTTAAAATATTACGTGAGTTCTATGAATGTGCACGAATCAATGAATATTACTACTACCACTACCACCTTCAACACCACCACCACCACCACCTCCAAAAGGACACAAAAGGGAAATTAACATCATTCAAGCCTAGTTACGATTAGCAGTAATGAAAAGTGCCTTGTGTCCTATCTAAAACTGTTGAACAGAAAAATGACTTGGGTGCATACCTCTCTTCCTCCACCTTTAACCTTTGCTGTTGCACCTGCAGACGCATCTGCACTATTTGACTGTCAGACAACGACTCTTTCCGGCTACGAGAAGAACGAGAGACAATATGGTAACATTCACAGGTTAAGACATGAACAAACAATGTTTTTTTTCTGACGCAAACAAGTAACATAAACGAGACTGGGTGATGATTGTTGATTAATCACAGAGTGGATGTTCATCAGCCCCCATGTCATGCAACCGGTCTCATGTTAGATACAGAAGTGCACAATAATAATTGAACTTGATATTTAATATTTTCGTTTATAAAAAGTGCAAATTGTTACCTGATATGCGTTTGCAATTCGTTGTAGTTCACGTAGTGAGTGAAAGGCACTGGCGGCGCTTCGGTTATTCCGGATCTACTCCCAGGACGTCCAAATTCGCCATATTGCGGCTCTCGACTTTGCTGCTAACATAAAAATTAATTGTTAACTAAATGTGCAAATGTGATTTGGCTCGATTATTTACCAGCAGTTGGCGATCGTAAATGTTCTCCCGCTCGTCCGACTGATAGTAAGTGTGTCTATGAGCCAGTCTTTGTCTCGCATTCTCTCTATTGGCGTTCACATTTTGTCGGTACTTGACTGGAGGAGCCACTGCATTTTCGGGAATCACCTGAAGCCAAAAAAATATATACCGGTCTTTTTTCATGAAATTTGAAAACTATGAAAGAGACTGTTGCACACAAGATAATATTAAAATTAAAAATCCAAATGAGTTATTTTTTCTGATGTGCTCTATTATTAATCGCGTTTTAGTAAAACGGTGATTTTATAGACGTTATCGTGCAGGGAAACCCCAGTTACAGGAAAACCACATTCTGCTGATAAAAAAAATTGCGTGCACAGCGGGAGCGCGCGTATCGTATAGGGAAACGTTTGTGGATATTTTGTCTGTCTAGCCAGACCACGATTGGCTATAGGAAAAACTTTATTTAGCGAGTGTTAGGTGGTTTCCGAATTTAAGGGTCCCATTTAACTGCCAATTTGGTATTTCGCGATTATTTGGGAACAATTAGTGATTGCTTGTTGAATTGTGGACTATTTTATCCCCCTTTTTCATCCATACTTTGCCACTTAAGGATCTAGGTATCCTCCCTTAAGTGGGCCAGAAATTCGGTAATTCCCTAACCCACATCTTTCTTAGGCCGTTGATTCAACGCATTTGGTTACTTTCGATTTTCAATTTTAAGATTTAAATTAAAAAATTCAAATTCAAACTAAAAATTTTTCCTTGCTGATTCCGGTTAAATCAGCTGGCATCTCTGTGCGAAGAACAATTTGTGAACTTTTTTTTAGACATAAGTTTAAATTTTGTCGAAAAAAACAAGATAACTTTGTTTCGATTTTGTCTCAAATTCAATGGTAAAACGGGTATTCGAAAAAGACGATAAAGAAGACCAAACTGTAAAGATGATGACTTTTCTGGCAAAATCCATCTTTTAACTTTTTTGCATAAAACATTCTCAGTTTGCCAGGATTTTACAGTAAAACGTTAGGAAAACGCGTTATTCTGTTTAGAGAGAGTTTTGTTTAGAAATATTGACCTAAAAGTGAAGAAAAAGGAATTTAAATAAACCACATTATTCACAGCGACAAAAGTGACGAGTTTTCCGAATAATTGATTATAAACTTTTACTTGTTCGGTTCGGGGAAATATTTTTGGGAAAAAATMTAGAAAAAATTATTAGTGTATTATAGAGTGTTCSAATAAAATGTATTTTTTATAATTTTCACAGAAAATACCTGATGATTGTCAGTATTTTAAGTAAAACTAAAAATAATACGTTTTTTGCGTCGCAAAAACTGCTAAAACTGGAATGACCTGAAATTTGAAAGAAACTTGAAAAATCTTCAGAGCGATGAGTGTCGAGACTTTTCCAAATAATTTTTGGAAAACTTTTTTCTGAAAACTCTGGCCGTTTTTTCAATATAATCTTAATTGTTTTCGGTAAAAAATCTGAATAAAATTATTTAGTTTTTGTGCCAAATTCGAAGCTGAAAAGGGTTTTCTAAAGTTCTCTGCAAATCGATGAATGAGGTGAATTTTCTAGCAAAATCAATTTTGTCATTTTTGGCTGCAAATACCCAGTCAGTTTTATGTCAGAAACGCAGAAAATAATGCTTTTTGCGTTTTCGATTAAAAACTTTTAGTTTTGTGATCGGTTTTGGAGAAAACCTTAATGGTTTTCAGGAAAAAACGGGAGAAATGTATTTTCGCTTTTGTCCCGAATTCGAAGTTTTTGTAAAATTCCTACAAAGTTATAAACAATTTTTTGCGTAAAATACATACGGATCGTCAGTATTTTTAAGTAAAACTCTACAAAAAATAGCGTTTTTGAGTTTTCAAAGCAAAAAAAATCAGTCAAAACTAAAAAACCACATTTTTTTAACAAGCTCTATAGTCGTCAGAGGAATGGAAGTGATGAGTTTTCCAAATAATTTGTTATAAACTTTCGCTTAATCAGTTCGTTTCTTGAAAGAAAATTATTTAATTTTTAAGCAGGAAAGGGATTTCAAAACTTTTAACAAAGCGACGAAGGATGCGAGTGTTCTAATAAAATTTACTTCATACATAATTTTTAAATAGCGAAAAATATCTCAAGATTGTCAGTATTTTTAAGTCATTTTTAATTTAGAAAAAGAGTAACTTTGCTAAAACTGAAAAATTCAGAAATTTTGAAGACATTTTAAAATGATTATTAATAAATCTAAAAACAAGTAAAAAAGTTATTAACATTTTCCCAGCAACGTAACTGAGCTACTGCGCCGGTGCGATAAGAATACACCTCTTACAAGGGGCTAAGACCAATTTTAACGCGTAATAAAGGGTCGCCCGCCTTAAGCCCACACATAGGAGTGAAGGTGGACACTCTTTATCTAAAAAAAATGAGGGAGAAATAAAAAGTTCATCATTTGTTTGGTAATAATGCGGAAATACAGAGAAGACTCAAAAGAACTAAACCAATCGAACTGGTTTAGAAAGCAAGAATTTGTGAGAGAGTACATGTCAAACCGATGTACTATAATATTACGGACAGAGTGACTATCGGAGGATGTGTGTGCTTTGTGTTTTTTAAAGTAGTAGATTAAGTTAAAGACAAATGGCTTATTAGTATACTGTACTAGATTGCTATAATAATAAAAAAAAAAAAAAATTTGTTTGGTGTATCATTTAATTCGACAAAGGAGACACGGAAGACTCCAAATTAATTTATTGGAAATTTCCTTTTCAACATTATACTTTTTATTAAAACGAAACTGAAAAAATCGTCAGACTTCACCCCGAACGACGGTACTCAACAAACACACTCACAAGAAATAATCAAAAAAGCACAGTCAAATGTGCGTTTACTATTCTTTCATCTTTCTATCGATTCTAAAAGTGTATAAAACTACTGCATCTTTCTAAACAATCATTCTATGATTCTGGCTAACTGCAATTGTTGCAATCAACATGTTTTAGAAATCGATGCAACAAAACATAAAAGGAAATAATAAAAAACATCAACGACAGAAGCTAGTTAAAAAATCATGCGTACCTGAACCTGCTCAGCGTGTCTATGAACGAACCCATGTCGCTGATAAATGGGTTCCCTTTGGATCTGCTGTTCTCGTTGCTGGTGTTGCTGAGTATTAAGAGTAACATGTGGCTGAACGGCCGGAGTTGGAGTTGGAGTCAGTTCTTGTGATCGGTCCGCTAAAAATTAACAGAAGAAAAATAGTTACGACTGAAAAAACAGAAATATCAAAACATAATAAAACGAAACCCGAGAGCAAACACAGATTCGAATGTCCATCGGACAATTAGCAGAAAAATTGCTTGAATATTTGAAACAGCAAGAACACGCTATTTTAAATAAATCAACGTTGGAAGCAATAAAGTCACACAGTTCAAAAATCGGGACTAAAACTCTTCTAAGCACTCACCATGTTGTTTATGTTGACTGCAGTCCGTATTATGAGAACTATGGGAATGATGGCTTTGATTGTCTTCACTTTGCTGCTGATGGTCGGAATTTTGTGAATACTGTGATACATTCAGAGCGCTCTCGAACTCGCTTGTTTTTTGGTGGTACTGCTGCACAGGTTCAACCAGCTCCACTTTGCGATGCTTTCCAAACCTACTCAAACGTTTTGATGTCATTTTCAACTAATTCAGTCCAAGTGCAAGTCGATCGTCTCCGGAGCCACATGCTTCATTACCTTACCTAAACATGGAGCCGATCCCTTTAAAAATGCCCGGCTTCTTTTTGCAGGGCTTATTTTTTGTGTCCAACGCGGCATTGAGTGAGGACTGCCTCGGCCCGCCTCTAACGTTCGTAAATCCATCGATCTCGCGTTCTTCCACCGGGCCATCCAAAAGCCAATGTTTTTTCGCACCTACAGTCAACTGTTATTAACAACCCGGAAAACTTCGGGCGGCATCAGAACAAACCCATTTCGTTGCGATGATTCGGATCAACTACTGCAGCCCTAAATGTCTCCTCGCTGCCTCTGCCTCTGATAACTTTCAGGGCCCCCGATGGGCCTCTGTAACTGTATGCGGGGTCCCCTTCTTCTTGCATCTGAATCTGAAGAAAATTATATTTACAAATGTGATTTCTTAGGCATTTTTTAAGTTTGTAAAGTGCACTTTAACTTACCTCTTGGACCATGGTTTGCAGCGACTCCAAACTGGACGATTTCTTCATGCCAAGCGACGGTCCAAGTTCGGCCAGCTTATCAGCATCTAAAAATCGGAGCATTTTCTAATGTGTCCCAAAACAAAATGTGCGTTTACAACTGAAGCATGCATGAATCACAGATGAATTTCTAGTAACGTTATTAAAACACAGCTAAAAGTGAATGCTTACACTCAGGATGTTCTGATGATCGATTCACGCTTATGACTGATTCCACTGAGCCGACTCGCACTATATTAGCTATTACATGGAAATGAGACACAAAAATTAGCCAAACATTGCCACTACGAACAACTGTTAGCACATATACATAATGAAACATTTAAATAACCCTTTATGGCAGGCTACAAATCGTGTAAGCAGTAAAAAATTGCATTTTTCAACAACCCAATACAAAATTCGACTATCAAATAAATTGTTCAGTTAAAAACCCTAATCAATTTTTAAAAAACTTACATTCTTTTTTGATTCTGTCCTCGCGCATTTTCTTGGTGCGTTGGTAAGTATCCGTACTTTTGGCATCCAATGTGGCGTGTCGCTTCTCGGACATGCTTTGCCGTCCAAACGCATCCCTGAAAAACTTTCGTAAAAAATACAATTTCATAGAAAAACATGTGAAACTTTACCTAGAAAACCCTTGCGGGTTTTCCAGACTCAGCTGGCTGGAATACGTTGCATCAGTGCCATGAATAGTTGTTTGGGAAGCTGATTCAGCGCTCTTATCACCCGCCTTGCCATCCGGCTCGTGTTCTTCTCGATTGTGATTTATGTGGCTCGGCTTGTTCATCATATGCACATTGATTCTTTAAAAGAAAAACATTGCAATTCGCAATTAATTATTGGTTGAAATGGACAGCTTTTGTTGCTACCGCACACCAACATTCTTAGTATTAAAGATGCAAAATATTGTAATTTAAACTCTAACTAAAACTTAAGTTTGGAAGTGGATAAATTCTGATTGCTTGGAGCGATTTGGTTTCTGTTTGAAGCGTTATTGAGCCCGATTTGGTCTCTGTTAATCAGTGTTTTAATAAAAATTAAGGCGGCAAATAAAAAACTGCAAAAAATCGGAAAGTAGGGCATGCTCCTAGTTGGATAAAAAAAAGGTTTTTTGGGTCTTAATACCAAAAGTTTAAAGGTAAACCAAATAGCTAGATAAGGTTCTCGAATTTTTCGGCCATCTCTTCCATTAATGGGGTTGTCTCAAAAAAACAACTTTTTGGTCTTGCAGCGATATCTTTTCTGACCTTGGATGAATTTTCACGATCTTGAGCTCATGTTGAAGCTAAACATTCATGAACAATTTAAGAAGAAAATTCGATTTTGCTTCCCAAATGCGCGAGTCTGGAAGATTTACAACTAAGTGAACTATAATTTCAAATATTTCGTTCATTCATGCATACTGGTATATAATTTTTTTTTAAGTCTACTGTGAATTTTTCGCTTCAACATAAGCCCTAGATTTTTAATCAGTTCTAGAGAAACAAATTTGGCTGCAAGACCAAAAAGTTGCTTTTTAGGTCAATCTGTAAATAAACGAGATCCGCAATAAAACCCAAAACTTTTCTTTTTTTCTGTCCAGCTGACCCTCTTTCACTCTGTAGAAACTCTAAAGCACCAATTTTTTCCGAAAAACACACTAATCGAAAAAAAATTGCACTAAATAACGCTTCAAATAGAAATCAATTCGCACGCAACATTCAATATTTATCCAGTTCCAAAATTAGTCGAAATTTGTCACTGTAATTAATGCTGATATTGTTAAGCAGTTTAATAGTGATTTTTCGCTTCATATTTTAACACACTGTGTCTTCGTCGTCGAACCGTCGTTTTAGTTATTTCTGTTACTTCTGCTCAGTCCAAGGTTTTATGCACTCCGAAAGTAACTATTTTAATGTAATTTAAATGTTTTTTTTTCATTTACACAGTCCACCAGAATTTGTGCATGTTCTCGTAAGGTTAAGCATGTAGACAATTTATTGTGAAGGTTTTTACATGTTTATTTTTGCATTGTTTAAATTGCTTTGATATAATAAGATTGTGCCTTGGGTCTTGAATTTGGCGTGTATGTTGAGCCAAGATCCCACGTACACTACAAGTTTCAACTTCCTAATCGAAGGTAAAAATTTTATGGATATCAATTAAATTCTAAAATATTATTTTGTAGTGTAAAACGAAAATTGCACCGACTTTTCCGCGCTTCTTGTCGTGGCCAATGATGTGAGAATTGATAACATTGCAGTGCCAACGGTTTCTAAAGACTTTAAATTATGCACATCTGTATGAAAAATCTGGACAAACTTGTTACAATTCTCGAAAATTATGCTGGTAAGAAAGTGTTTTCGGATGCCGAAGAAATAAGACATAGAGGGTATTTTCGCATACAACTTTTTAAAACTTCTTCAAAATTTCCGGATTTTTCCCCGTTTTAGACCAAATAGTTTATGTTGATGGCTTTTTCTTGTTAGATGTTAAAATTTCGTCATCGGCCATGATTTATAACTCATTAACCAATTGCGGCAACAACTCAAAAGCGCAACTCAACACAGTGTTACCCAGGCCTAATATTCATTAGACACTATCAGTCTTCAGAACTTAATACGCTATTAACATTAATCGCCAAAATGGCATCTTTATGGTATAATAATAATAATAAAATACAGCTTAAAAATACTGCGTAAACACTCAATATACGCGCAATGCAACGACAAAGTCTGATAAAAATAAGGTAGATTCTTCAAATGGAAATAAATCTAAATAAGACAATATGACCAATGAAATTCGACTAAAAAGTACAGCGACCAATGAAATTGTAATGCGGCAACATCAAGTCCACCTTATATTCCAGAAAAGTACGGGGGCCGGTCACATAAACATTTCTTGGATTCTAGGAACACTTCATGCATTAAATTGAACATACCCCCCAATTTACACGTTTGCCCTAGTAACATCGAAAATAGTATATCAGCGTCTCCCCTATATTACGCAAGAGTTTTACAAAAATATTCGAACTTACTGTTGCTGATTTTGAATAGGAACCACTCTAGACCCGTACTCGTCCTCTATCAAGATCGGTTCAGCCGTGCTCAAGTTGACCACAGTGGTGCCGCCCAGACTCCCCAAAGCGCTACTATTCGCTAACATACTGTTACTCCAGGTATCGTGTGTAGCTTTATAGTAGCTCTCGTTGCGTAGCTGTTGCTTACCTAAGAAATAGACAGAAAAAGTCAATACTTTATAGCCGTTTGGGGCGTTTTTTGCGCTTACCAGTTAGCCGCTCTAGCACTGGGTTCCAGGTATGCATGGGACTCAACTGGTTGGGAATCATGCCATTCTGGTGCGGGTTGTAGATGACGGTATTAGTCGACCCGTTGGAAGCGTTTGAGTTGGAATTTTCGCCGGATGGATCGCTCGCTGTGTCTTGGGAGTTGTACAAATCCTGAAGAATTTACAGTTGCTTCAATTGATCAACAACCTGTTATTGCATTCTCACCGGAGATGTTTGAGAAACATTGAGCAAGCTCTCATTGGAGCGATTCCTTGAAGAGCCGGGAGACGAAGCACGTCTGGCGATGATCAGCGTGATGTTTCCAGGCACTGGACCCTCAGTATGCAACATGGCTTTGCGCAGCGTTTCCATTGCGTCGCTGTTCGATTGCTGAAGCAGCGACTTTCCATTGACGTTCAGTAGCTGATCGTTCGTTCTCAGTCTCTTGTCTCTTGACGCGGCGCCCCCATTGATTACGCTTTTTATGAAGATACCCAAATCACCTAGACAAGCAACAGTTGGAATTAATACGACCAAATATGTGTGGCCAATTTTGTTGGTATTTTTTCGCATAAAAATGTACACTTAAATATACAAATGAAGGAGTTAAAAGCAAAACCGCCTAAGCTACAAAAGGTTTATTTAGAGAAATGGATCGTCAAAGGTGTTTACTTTG